CTTAAGCTTCTTGGATGTTTATATTCATGTCTCTCATGAAACTTGGGAAGTTTTCAGCCATCATGTCTTCAGATATTCTTTCTGCCCCTGCCTTTCTCTTCATCTCCTGGGACTCCCACAAGGAGTATGTTGATCTTGATGTTCTCCCACAGGCCCCTTACGTTCTGTTTATTCTTCTTTAATCTTTTTTCTTTCTGTTCCCTAGACTCAGTGATTTCCATTGTCCTGTCTTCAAGTTCACCGATACTTTTTTCTGGCTACTTAAACCTGTCTTTGAATACTTCCAGTGAATGTTTCATTTCAGTTGTTAAACATTTTAGCTCTAGGATTTCTTTTGAGTTTCTTTTTAAGTTTTCTACATCCTTACGGATATTCCATTTTGCTCATCCATCATTTTCTAGATCTTCTGCACATCTTCCTTTAGTTCTTGAAGCATCTTCAAGACAGTTGTCTTATAGTCTTTGTCTCCTATATCTGCCATCAGATTTTTTCCCCCAGGGTGTTTCTGTTGATTTATTTGCTTCATTTGAATGAACCATGCTTTCCTGTTTCTTTGTATAACTTCCAATTTTTCTGTTGGTGTTGAACACTGGACATTTGACTTTAATAATGTGGTGACTCTGGAAATCAGACTCTCTTTCTCAGTGATTGCTACTGTTAGCTTGTTTTTGTTTTTATGATTGTTGTAGGCTGTCTGTGCAAAGGTCCAGCCACAGTAGAAACCTAAGGTCTTCTTAGGTCTTTTTCTGAGCCTCTCCCTGGGCATTCCCAGTCAGTGTCTAATTTTCCCCATTTTTGCAGTTCTGAATGTTTTAGTGTTTCGTGTCAGGCTCCCAAAAGGGGGAAAAGAGAAAAATGAAAGGTGGGGAGAAGGGAACCAGTCCTTTAATCCCTTGGAAGTCACTTTATGTGGAGGGAGAGGGACTTGCAACAGTGTGGGGAAGGAACCTGATCAAAGGAGAGATCTCGGATATTTGGAGAATGGGATCCTTTCGTCCACCCCGCCTCCTGCACGCTGTCTGTAAGCCACTCCAGGAACACATGCACAGCCATCTGCCACGTGCTAAGAGCTGTAATCTGGGGAGTACTGCCACGTTAACGACATTGAATCTCCCAATCCACAAACTTGGCATATTTTCCCATCCATTCAGCTCTTCAGTTTCTTCCAGCGATGTCTTCTAGTTTTCAGAGACGAGTCTTGCACTTATTTTTGTTAAATTTAATCCTTAATATTTTCTTCTTTTTATGCTGTTGTAAGTGGAGATGTTTTTGTAATTTCAGTTTTGGGTTATTCATTACTAGTATTTAGAAATACGATATCGTGATGTATATTGATCTCTTATTCTACAATCTTGTTGAACTCATTTATTAGCTCTAATAGTTTGTGTGTTCCTTACACACACACACACACATCTATGTCATATATATATATTCATGTCATCTATGGTTACACATAATTTTACTTTTTCCTGTCCAATCTGGATGCCTTTTTTCTGTTTCTTGCCCAATACCCTGGCTAGAACTTCTAGAACATTGCTGAATAGAAGTAGTGAAAGTGGGCATCTTTTGTTTTGTACCTGATCTTAGAGGTAAAGCATCCATTTTTCACTAGTAAATATGTTAGCTGTGGGTTTTTTTTTTTCTAGATTGCTTATATCAGTTTGAAGAAGTTCCCTTCAGTTTCTAGTTCATTTAGTGTTTTTATTATGAAAGGGTGTTGGAAATTGTGGGACACTTTCTGCATAGACTGATACTTATATGGTTTTTTTTTTTAATTCTATTAATATGGTGTATTGCCTTGATTGGCTTTTATGTTGAACCACCCTTGCACTCCTGGGATAAGTCTTACTTGGTCATATATAAACCTTTTTATATGTTGATAGATTCAGTTTGATTTTTTTTTTTGAGGCTTTTGCATCTATGTTCATAAGAGATACTGCTCTGTAGTTTTCTTGTAATGTCTTTGTCTGGTTTTGGTATTAATTAATACTCAGCTCATATAATGAGTTGGGAGGTATTTTCCCTCTCCCCCCCATCTGTTTTGTTTTTTGGGAGTTATTTTGAGGGGGTGTAAAAGAGTTTAGAAGATGCTGGTGTCAATTCTTCTTTAAATACTTGATAAGATTCAGGGAGTGAGTCATCTGATTCTGGGCTTTTCTTTGTGGGAATTTTTTTCCATTATTACTTCAAAAAATTTTTTAATGTTTTATTTCTAGGAGAGAGAGAGAGAGAGAGAGCGAGCAGGGGAGGCTCAGAGAGACAGAGAGTCACAGACTCTGAAACAGGCTCCAGGCTCTGAGCTGACAGTCAGCACAGAGCCCGACACGGGGCTCGAACCCACGAACCACGGGATCATGACCTAAGCGAAAGTCGGATGCTTAACTGACTAACCCACCCAGGCGCCCCGATTTCCATTATTACTTCAATGTATTGTTATATGTCATTGAGATTGTCTATTTCTTTCGAGTCAATTTCAGGAATGTGTATCTTTTTAGGAGTCTGTCCATTTCATGTAGGTAATCTAACTTGCTTTTGTACAATTGTTCATACCTTTCTCATTTCTGTAAGATTCAGTACTAATGGCTTTTCTTTCATTCCTGCTTTTAGTCACTTGAGACTTCATTCTTCCCCCCCACCCCCAAGAGATGACTTTATTACACACACACACACACACACACACACACACACACACTGCATTTAACCATGTGCACATGTGCTAGGGCCACTGTGATGGTACCAGCCTTTCATTTTTATTTTTTTTGTTTTTAGTTTACTTATTTATTTTTAAATTTTTTTTTAATGTTTTATTTATTTCTAGGAGAGAGAGAGAGACAGCGTGAGCAGGGGAGGGTCAGAGAGAGAGGGATTCACAGACGGAAACAGGCTCCAGGCTCTGAGCTGGCAGTCAGCACAGAGCCCGACACGGGGCTCAAACCCACGAACCGCGAGATCACAACCTAAGCGAAAGTCGGACGCTTAACCGACTAAGCCACCCAGGAGCCCCTACTTATTTATTTTTAATTTATTTTTTAATTTACATCCAAGTTAGTTAGCATAGAGTGCAACAATGGTTTCAGGAATAGACTCCAGTGATTCATCCCCTATGTATAACACCCACTGCTCATCCCAACAAATGCCCTTCTTAATGCCCCTCATCCATTTAGCCCATCCCCCCACCCACAACCCCTCCAGCAACGCTGTTTGTTCTCCTTATTTAAGAGTCTCTTATGTTTTGTGGGGCGCCTGGGTGGCTTAGTCGGTTGAGCGTCCGTCTTTCGCTTAGGTCATGATCTCGCGGTTCGTGGGTTCGAGCCCCGCGTCGGGCTCTGTGCTGACTGCCAGCTCAGAGCCTGGAGCCTGTTTCCGTCTGTGACTCCCTCTCTCTCTGACCCTCCCCTGCTCACGCTGTCTCCCTCTCTCTCTCCTAGAAATAAATAGAAAAAAACATTAAAGAAAAAAAGAGTCTCTTATGTTTTGTCCCCTTCCTTGTTTTTATATTATTTTTGCTTCCCTTCCCTTATGCTCATCTGTTTTGTATTTTCAATTCCTCAGAAGTCATATGATATTTGTGTTTCTCTGACTGGCTAATTTCACTTAGCATCATGCTCTCTAGTTCCGTCCATGTAGTTGCAACTGGCAAGATTTCGTTCTTTTTGACTACTGAGTGATACTCCGTTGTATGTATATACACCCCATCTTCTTCATCCATTCATCCATTGATGGACATGTGGGCTCTTTCCATACTTTGGCTATTGTTGATGGCGCTGCTCTAAACATTGGGGGGCACGTGCCCCTTTGAAACAGCACACCTGTATCCTTGGATAAATACCTAGAAGTGCAATTGTGGGTCGTAGGGTGGTTTTACTTTTAGTTTTTTGAGGAATCTCCATACTGTTTTCCAGAGTGGCTGCACCAGCCACTTCATTCTTTTCTTCCTGGTCAGGCTAGCTAAAGTTTTGTCAATTTTGGTGATCTTTTTTTGAAGACGGCAGATACTTTATTCACTTATTAATAAGCATAATCACATTTTTTTTATGTTTTATTTATTTCTAGGAGTGAGAGAGAGAGAGACAGCGTGAGCAGGGGAGGGTCAGAGAGAGAGGGAGTCACAGACTGAAACAGGCTCCAGGCTCCGAGCTGGCGGTCAGCACAGAGCCTGACGCGGGGCTCGAACCCACGAACCGCGAGATCACGACCTAAGCGAAAGTCGGACGCTCAACCGACTAAGCCACCCAGGCGCCCCAAGCATAATCACATTTAAACATATTTAAGAAAAATATGATCAACAAGCATAAGATCATAAATCTCTGCTTACGTATATCAACTATATACTAAGAATATATTCATATTAATTGAATATGTAGGAAGATACTCCTTAAGACATATTTAAAGTAAAGGAATAACTTTAGGAAGCAGAGTGTTTGGTAGTTTTAGGAAGACTGAAGAGTGCAGCACAGAGACCGATAGACAGCATCCCTGCCCACCGTCTTCCAGTCTGGGAGACCGTGAACCCTGCATTTCCCGGGAAGTGGCTTACACACTGGCCAGCGAAGTTCAGGCTCCTGGGGGAGCCCACGGGGGGTCGTGTGACCTGCCGGGCTGTCGTTGGAGAAGCTGCAGCTTGGCTGTGCCGCCTGTCCCGCTCCCTAGCCCCTCCTGGCTGCCTGCACCCAGGGTCTGGGGAGGCTGGACAGCAGCCAGCTTGGCGAGCCCCTTCGGGCTCCGTGGACATGGGGTTGGCAGCGGTGGGGTGTGGGATGAAGGCGGATGGAGACAGGTGAGGCTGGTGGTCAGGCCTTTACCAGAGGGCTGGGCAACACCTTTCCTCGCTTCCCTGCCTGCCTGGCATCTTCCAGCTCCGAAGGGCGGGACACGGGGGCAGGTGAGACACGAGAGGGAAACTGAGTCCCAGAGGTAGATCACGTGTGCCCACGTGAGTTGCCAAGCCCCCCCAAGAGCCACAGCCAGCCACGTGATGCCTCTTTCCTTGTGCCCCACAGCCTTTGAAAACAGCCTGGGCTCTGGCTGGCTCGCGGGTAAGAGGCGGAGTCCCCTGCAGATGCTGTATGACTTGGACCAGGTAGGTGAACAGACCCGCATCCCCTGATGCCTCCCTCTACCTGCAGCCGCGGGAACCTGAGAGCCGGCGTGTAGACCTGCTGCCGTGGGGACTGGAGCCGCCCCGGGGCAGGGGGGGGGCGCGAACAGGCTTCCTGTGTGGTCAGGGCTCTGTGCAGAGAGGAGAATGCCCGTGACCAGGGCAAATCTTGGGGCGACTGGGAGATTGGGATCCCCAGCCACCCACCCACCTGACAGCAGACTGAGGTCACACCGTGCTGGGCGCTCTTCTCCGTGTGGCAGCTATAAAGGAGTGAGGCAGGCCTTTAGGAAGTCCAGTGGGGAGGCGGTGAACGAGGGAACCCCCAGATGTCAGTGCCCGCTGTGGCAGGGACACATGCAGGGAGCCCCGCCCTCGCAGTGTCCTGAGGCACGTGGACCGGGGGGCTTGCTGGCCCGTGCACCCCGCTCCTGCCCTGGGCCTGCTGGGAGCGCGCACACGGCTACACCCCACTGAGAGCCACAGGCCCCTGGCTCACACACGCCCCAGCAGGTACAAGGAGAAGCGCCCGTTCAGACAGCATGTGTGGAGCACCTACTGTATGCAGGCTGTGCTCAGGATGCTGCGGATCCAGCCCAGGCAGGTCAGCTGCGTCCCTGAGCCGGTGCAGCTGACGTTCCCAAGGGGAAGACACCATGCCATTGCCGCCCGCATTAACCTGTGACTGGTCCGCATCTAAAGAGGCAGTCCTGGTGCAATAAGAGAGGGGCCAGAGGGTTCTCGTTTGTTTTATTTTATTTATTTTTTTGCATCAAAAAAATTTTTTTTAGCATGTATTTATTTTTGAGAGACAGAGTACGAGTAGTGGAGGGGCGGAGAGAGAGGAAGACAGAATCGAAGTAGGCTGCAAGCTCCGAGCCATCAGCACGGAGCCTGATGCAGGGCTTAGACTCACAAACCGTCAGGTCATGACCTGGGCCGAACTCGAGCGCTTAACCGACTGAGCCACCCAGGCGCCCCCGTTGACCCTGTTTTATTTTTTTCACATGTATTTATTTTTGAGAGACAGAATGAGACGGAGCGCGAGCAGGGGAGGGGCAGAGAGAGAATCCGAAGCAGGCTCTGAGCGAACGTTCAGCACAAAACCCGGCGCGGGGCTCGAACCCACGAGCGGGGAGGTCATGACCTGAGCCGAAGTCGGATGCTTAACCGGCTGAGCCGCCCAGGCGCCCCTGAGGGTTCTAGTTTAGATGTGGGGAGAGAGATCGTCTCTGAGAAGGGACGCTGGCGCTGAGGCGTGCTGAAAAAAGTGTTGAGAAGCAACCAGTAGGCGGCCGAGTGCCTGGCCGTGAGGGGACAACAGAAGAGGGGGTTTGAGATGAGCCGGGGCAGGGGCAGGCGGCAGGTGGGCGGTGCCTGGCAGGTAAGAGGTAAGAGGGAGCCATGGAGGGTGCTGAGCCGGGAGAATGATCAGACAGGTCGTATAGGTAGCTGTTTACTGAATCCCTAAGGGCTGAGCCGAAGGGGCCCGTGGAGCGTATCTGACCCATGGCCTTGGGTTGCAGGCCTAGAGGCCTGGGTTCAGAGAGGGTGACTGCCTTGCTCCAGAACACACAGCAAGCTGAGGGCAGGCCAAGCTCTCTGGAGGTTCCTGGGCTCCCCTAGTTCAACAGGCTCCTGAGGGGCAGATGGAGCTGGCTCCGCCCCCTCCTGGCCTGAGGTCGCGCTGACTGTCGGGTGTCAGGGTCCTGGGGGCTCAGCCCCCTGCAGCTGGGGAAATCAAAGTAATAAAAACGGTCTGGCCAGTGAGCGCTCACTGTGTGCCGGACTCCGAAGTTCTGTGAACGTGTTCTGTCCTCACGGCAACCCTACGAGGTGGGGCTGTAGGGCTGTCGTTATCCCTGTTTACAGATGAGGAAACTGAGGCAAAGGGAGCCCCGGGACACAGAGAAGGTCACAGAGCTCAGAAGCTCTAGAGCCAGGCTAAGGTCCAATCGGGCCGGGAGAGATGCGAGCTGAGGCTGCAGGATTTGGTCCTGGACCAGCAAGCACAGCCCCCAGCTTCTGAGTCCTGAGTGGCCTGAGTTGGGGGTTCCGGCTTCCGTACTTGAGAGCTGTGGGCAGCTCGCTTCTGATCAGCTTTCTCCTTTGTATGGAGAGAGCATTGACCGTCTTGGTATTTACAGGGCTCCCAGGGACAGAAAAGCTGACTTTAAGCCATTAGGACAAGTTGGGGTTTACTTCCCAAGATGCTCAGAGACCAGCCAGCCCCCTGGAACGGCATCAGCGCGTTGCCCACCATCATCCTCTGGATGGTGCCGTCTCTTATATGTCTTGTTGCCTCATGACTGCAAAATGACTGCCAGGGCTCCGGACCTCTCCTCATAGGACAGTAGTCTGAGCAGAAAGGGAGGGGGCGGGCAAAGTTTTCTGTAGTCTTTCCTGGGACTCCTCTAGCCGACTTTCCTGCAATGTCCTTGGCCAAGTCCAAGCCCCATGTTCACCCCTGGACCCGTAGTAGCTTTTGTGAAGTCGTGTGAGGTTGCCGGGACTCATTCTTCCCCGGGGCTGGGCACGCGACCTACCACAGCTGAGGTCTGCCGGCAAGGAAGGTGGGTGACCGGCAGGTGGGCGGCCAAGATCCCGCGCCTCAGAAGGTAGGCTGGGTTGTCTGGAAGCTGAAGGCAGCCTTCTCCCGGCACGCATGTGAGGCCAGGCTTCTGAGGCTAATCCCGTGAGTCTGCCTTAGAGCGTAGGGGCCCCAGGCCCCCCCCAGCCATGGCTGAACCTGGCAGCCCCCCCGTCGGTGAGATGTTGAAAAGGTAACATAAGCACACGATAGGGCCTTCAACCCTCCGCAGAAGTTCAGGCGGGAAAGTGCCTCTCCTTCCCACCCTGGCCCTGCGGACCCCTCCGGGCGACCGGTTAGTTTCCCGTGTGCCCTTCCGGGCACGTTGTGGGCATGCGTGTAGGGTCCAGTGCTCGGTCATGTGCTTAGGTCGCTCTTCCAAAATCACACCTACAAGGCATGTTTACCCCTTTTCTCTGCTTTACGTTTCAGTTGTGAAAAATTCAGACACATGCAGAAGTGTATGTACATGGACCCTCCGTGTTCCCGTCAGCTCTTGTCCAGTCCAGACCCTTCTCCCTCCACCCATTCCCAGGATTATTTGGAAGCACATCCCAGCCTTGGTTATTCTGGGACAATTTGATTCTCTCTAAAAGAGACGTTCCCTGCAACTATCCTTTCTGAAACATTTATTTCCTTCCCCAACCCTTTTTTTTTACTTTTAATTTTTTTCCTGACGTTTATTTATCTTTGAGAGGGAGAGACAGAGCATGAGCATGAGCAGGGGAGGGGCGGAGAGAGAGGGAGACACAGATTCCGAAGCAGCTCCAGGAGCCGAGGCGTCAGCACAGAGCCCGACGCGGGGCTCGAACTCACAAACCGCGAGATCGTGACCTGAGCCGAGGGACACTTAGCCGACTGAGCCACCCAGGCGCCCCTCCCCAACCCTTTTTAAACCCAAAGTGTGGCATGTTAACTCTTGTTCTGTACTTCAGTTTTTTTCACTTAAAGTATCTTGGATTTCTGCGGGATGCTTTTAAAGGCACCAGAAGCACAGGCGCGCGCGCGCGCGCGTGCACACACACACACACACACACACACACACACACACACTGTTCCCTCCCGGCCCCAGCATCAGATACTCTCCCGCAGGCACGGGGTACAGTGTCCGCCACCATTTCGGAGGCTGCTTTGTCCTCCTCTGCAATGGAAACACTCAGAAGGCTTTTTTCTTAACTGAGATATAACTCAAATACCATTAACATTCACTTTTAAAGTGTCCAAATCAGTGGTTTTTAGTGCATTGACAAGGCTGCATAAGCACCACTGTAGGTGCAGAACACGCTCATGACTCCAGAGAGGGGACCCAGCAGCAGTTAGCAGTCACCCCACCAGCCCCTGGCAACGAGCAGTGTGCTCTCTGTCTCTGTGCATCTATTCTGGACGTTTCTTCTGAATGGAATCTGTCCTACACCATGTGGCCTTTTGTGTCTGGCTTCTTTCACTTAACGTAGGCAATCTTTTCTTCTTTTAAATTTTTTTTAATGTTTTATTTATTTCTAGGAGAGAGAGAGAGAGAGAGACAGCGTGAGCAGGGGAGGGTCAGAGAGAGAGGGAGTCACAGACTCTGAAACAGCCTCCAGGCTCTGAGCTGGCAGTCAGCACAGAGCCCGACGCGGGGCTCGAACCCACGAACCGCGAGATCATGACCTGAGCGAAAGTCAGACGCTTAACCGACTAAGCCACCCAGGCGCCCTGAACGTCCGACTCTTGATGTTGGCTCGGGTCATGATCTCATGGTTCGTGAGTTTGAGCCCCATGTGCTGTCAGCATGGAGCCTGCTTGGGATTCTCTCTCTCTCTCTCTCTCTCTCTCTCTTTCTCCATGCTCGCTGTCACTGTCTCTCAAAATATATAAACATTAACAAAGAATTTCCTTCCTTTTATTGGCTGAATAGTATTCTATTGTATGGATATGCTACACGCTATTTATTCATTCATCGTTGATGGGACATCTGGGTCGTTTCCACCTTTTGGCTATTCTGACTAACGTTGCCGTGAACATTTGTTTACAAGTTTTGGCGGGACATATGTTTCCAGTTATCTTGGGTATATACCTCGATGTGGAAGGCTGGATCATATGTTTGTTTTGAGAAGCTGCCAAACTGCTTTCCACAACAGCTATATCATTTTACATTCTCAGCAGCAATGAAGGAATGTTCCATTTCCCCGCATCATCAACGTTTGTTGTTGTCTTTTTTTGTATTATTATTATATCTTGAAGGTTTTGAAGGCAATTTTGAGAAATTAAAAACACTCTCCTGGAAACTCTTGAGCTGAAAACCGGGAAGAGGAGGGGCGGGAGGGGTTAGAGGGTTCGTCTTGGAATGGAGAGCCTGTCCAGTGCAGAAGGGACTTGAAGAAAGGGGAGGCATGGGGGGCAGGGAAGTGGTGGCTTGCGTCCCATCGTGGCTGAGACAGGCTAGGAGGGGGTGGCCCAGGGGTCCTAACACTACCTAATTAATAGAGTCGTCAAGTGCCCAGAAAAGTTCCTGGCACACAGCAGGTGCTAGATAAAGGCTCGATGTTAGTATCTCACAGAGGAGGGACAGGCTTCATGGAGGGCGAGCTTCCTGCCCAAGCGCTGAGATTAGAGTTGCTCGGTGGTAATAAAAAGAAATCGAGACCCACAGGAACATGCAGAATTAGCCGATTTTATTACTGAACAGAAAATATCTCGGTGGCCTGCAAGTGGCTGCATTTTTCAACTCTTTCTGTGGAATTAAAGCTGCCGTTCTTTTTTTTTTTTTTTTTAATGTTTTATCCATTTGAGAGAGAGAGACAGTGTGAGCAGGGGAGGGTCAGAGAGGGAGACACAGAATCCGAAACAGGCTCCAGGCTCAGAGCTAGGTGTCAGCACACAGCCCGACGCGGGGCTTGAACCCACAAACCGTGAGATCATGACCTGAGCCGAAGTCGGACGCTTCACCGACTGAGCCACCCAGGCGCCCCTACAGCTGCCGTTCTTACACACTATCGTGCTTCGGGTAAAAAGTGAGCAGCTATTCAGTTTGCGCCCACGCTTGTCACGCTGATGATGTAACTGACATGACCACGCCGACGTGGTCATGCTCGCTATGAGGCCGCCTGGGTCCTGCGTGCCCAACACTTTGTCACGCGCGGCCTTCCACGTGCCTCGGGAGGTCAGAGCCATTGTCCCCCAAGTTCAAGTCTAGGGCAGACCCCTGGGCCCCGAATCGCAGGGCGATCTGCGGTCCCCGCCCCCCGCCGCCCCCCCCCCCCAATCCGTGGCGGCGGCCGGAGCGCGCGGGGCCGGCGGCGCTGACCCGTCCCCCGCCCTGTCGCCCGCAGGGCCCGCGCTCCGCCATGGCCGAGGTGCACCGGCAGCGGCGCGACCTGCTGCGGCGCGCCTGCAGCCGCCACACCCGGCGGCAGCGCCTGCTGGCGCCCGCGGACCTGCGGCACGTGCTGGTGGACGACGCGCACGGGCTGCTGTACTGCTACGTGCCCAAGGTGGCCTGCACCAACTGGAAGCGCGTGCTGCTGGCGCTGAGCGGCCGCGCGCGCGGCGACCCGCGCGCCATCCCCGCGCACGAGGCGCACGCGCCCGGCCGCCTGCCGTCGCTGGCCGACTTCGGCCCGGCCGAGATCAACCGGCGGCTGCGCGCCTACCTGGCCGTGCTGTTCGTGCGCGAGCCCTTCGAGCGCCTGGCGTCCGCCTACCGCAGCAAGCTGGCGCGGCCCTCCAGCCCCGCCTTCCAGCGGCGCTTCGGCACGCGCATCGTGCGGCGCCTGCGGCCGCGCGCGCTCCCCGAGGCGCGGGCGCGCGGCCACGACGTGCGCTTCGCCGAGTTCCTGGCCTACCTGCTGGACCCGCGCACGCGCCGCGACGAGCCCTTCAACGAGCACTGGGAGCGCGCGCACGCGCTCTGCCACCCGTGCCGCCTGCGCTACGACGTGCTGGGCAAGTTCGAGACGCTGGCGGACGACGCGGCCTTCGTGTTGGGCCTGCTGGGCGCGCCGGGGCTGCGCTTCCCCGCGCCGCCGCCCCGGGCGCAGGGGGCGGCCGCGCGCGACCTCGCCGAGCGCCTCTTCCGCGACGTCAGCCCCTTCTACCAGCGGCGCCTCTTCGACCTCTACAGGATGGACTTCCTGCTCTTCAACTACTCGGCGCCCCCCTACCTGCGGCTGCGCTGAGCCCCCGCCCCCGCCGCGCCCCCTGGAGGACCCCGCCCGCGCCCGCCGGTGCCACCGCCCGGGGTCCAGTCCCAGCGCCACCGCTCCCGCGATTCCCTGCCGGGCCGGCCCTTCTCCAGACCCCTGGGGGGGGGGGGCGGTCCAATGACTAGTATGTTTTCGTTTGAGGCCATGGGGGGGGTCAGCTTTGCGCCCCCACCCCCACCCCACCTGCCTGTGGTGCCACAGAGCAGACATGATGGCTGGTGCCGCCTCTTGGCCTCACCTGCCCTGGTCATCACAGGCCTCTCCCTCGGGGGCGCAGTGCCCTCGGATCGGCGCTTCCACGCTGCCCCCAGGCTTCTCCCTGTATGTGCCCCCCCCCACCTGTGGTCTCCCCGCGGCCAGATCCCAGGCCTCCCGTGTGCGCCCGCGGAGCCCCGAGTGCAGAAGGGTGGCCGCTTTTACAGGACCTTGGCGAGCCGGGGAGCTCATGGTTTTGAAATAAATGTTTGGTTACTTTCTGCCGTTTTGGAGCTGTCTCTGCTTCACGTTGCCGTGTGCTCTGCTGCGTGGGGCCGTCTGTCCGGCCTCAGTTTCCCTTCGCGGCCCAAGAAGGCCAGGTGGCCGGGAAGACGAGCTGAGACCGAGATGGAGAGCCTGGGTTACCTTCGCCCCGGGGCACAGGTATGAAGGGCTCTGTGGGCAGCGGGGGGAGGGTGGGGGGAAGGGGTCGGCGCACCGGGTCAGGGGCGACCTGGATTCTGGCCAGAAGGGCAACTGGGAAAACTTGGCGGAAAAGCTGACCTTTTGTTCTGTGTTAGGCTAAAGATCAAAGCAGAAGGCAGCTGTGTGTGTGTGTGTGTGTGTGTGTGTGTGTGTGTGTGTGTGTCTGCTTGGCAATGAGGATCCACCCTTCCGGCTTTGGGAACACAGCCAGCCGTGGGAGGCCTCCCTCGGGAAGGACTGAAAGCCCCCTTCGTGACTGGTTGAACATACGGTGTCCTTTTTCAATGACCTTGGATGACAGAGTAAAATGCCAGCACTTTGGTGGGAACGGGGCAGCGTATGCTTGAGGTCTGAGAAACACAAATAGAGCGCAGCTGAGGGAGGGCAGCTTGGCAGGGACGAGGCCAAACCCCTCTTGCGGTGCCCCCACACCCTGTCCTGAGGGCCTGTGAGCCCGGTCACAGGGCCAGGCTGGCCGGGGACGGGCGGCTTAGTCACATTCACGCCTCAGCCTCGGCGGCAGATCCCCTTCCTTCCCGGGCCGGTCCTGGGGTGCCTCCTTCTCAGGAGGCTGCGAGGCCTTCACGGACCCTGTGTCCACGGGCCCTGCCACGCGGGGAGGGGCTGCCGCTGGTGGCCTCGCCCCGCTGGGGGACCGTGGGAAGAAAGCCCAGGGCCCCCTGCATCCTGAAGTTGGTCACATGCAAACCTCATGGGCCACTGCCCACCCCCAGCTGATGGCCCCCGATGCACTGTGACCGCAGGGCCCACACCCCAGGCCCCTCCCTCCTCTCCCGCTTCGGCTCCGGCTGGCACCAGAGCGGCCCCAGGCTGACTGCCCACCCCTCGATGGCAAGGTCCCCGCTGGGTCACCCGGCGGCCTGAGGACGACGGTGTCCCCTGTGAATCGCCAGACGAGACCAGGAGGGAGCCCAGGTTTTCTGCGACAGCGCCGCGCCGGCTCCTAACGGATGGAAAGCCCACGCGTGGCACTTCAGTGTGCCACCAACTGCCTTTTATTTCCTGGTTCCCGCCCCCCAGAGCCGAGCCGGGTCAGTGCCCCCTCCCCCCCCCCCCCCCCCGCGGAAGCCACCCCAGGGGGGTCGGGTCGCAGAGAGTGGGTTAGAACGTTTTCACCTGCTGCTGCTCCTGGCTGTGTCGGGAAGGGTTCCCGGATCTTTCGTGGTTACAGTATTGGTTTGTTTGTGTTTTGTTTCTTTTGTTTTTCAGTTTTAGTTTGCGGCTTTGTCCTCCAGGCAGCTCCCTGGGGGGCCCATTTCCATAATTTAAAGTGATGCTGAAATAAATCCCCGGCTCTTTGTAACAACTCTGCTTCATACATTATTCAGTTTCGGGATGGCAGCCAGCTGCTTGTGCTGGCGACTGGCTGGACGGCCTCCGGGCGAAGGCAAGGCCCCCCTCTGTCTGTCTGTGCAGATTGCTGGGTTGGGTCCCTTCAGCACCCCTCCGGGCGGGGGGGGGGGGCCGGGGGCAGGCTCAGGGTGCTGCCCCTCCCCCACGGGCTTGCAGCCCAGGCTCAGCACGGTGACTCCTCTTGTTCAGCTGAAGGGACTCAGAACGGCTGCTCCACGGAGCCCCTGGGGACACCGGCTCCCTCTCTCCTGTTGCTGCCCCAACCCCGCGGCTGCAGCCCGCCTCCGCGTGGACCGCAAGACCAGCTCGTCCGCTCCCCAAGCATCGGAATGTTGAACACAAGTACAAGTGGATTGTACATTCCACCCCCAGTCAGGTGCCACCGGCCAGAGCCCCTGCGCAGGGGAGCCTGGGACGACACCCAACCCCCTCCATCCTGCTAGCCACATCCAGCCGGCCCCCGCCCCCCCGCAGCCCTCCCCACAGAGCCGGAGGCGGGGCTCCAACCCACCTACTGTGAGATCCTGACCTGAAAGGAGGTGGGACGCTTGACCGCTTGACCGCCTGAGCCACCCAGGCGCCCCACATACCACATCTTCTTTATCCATTCATCTGTCAGTGGACATTTGGACTCTTTCACACATTGGCTATTGTCGATGGCGCTGCTATAAACATCGGGGTGCATGTGCCCCTTCGAAACAGCACACCTGTGTCCTTTGGATAAATACCTAGTAGTGCAATTGCGGGGTCATAGGGTAGTTCTATTTCTAATTTTTTGGAGAAACTCCATTCTGTTTTCCAGAGTGGCTGCACCAGTTTGCATTCAGATAGCTCCTTCTTCCCTAAATATTCTTTATTTAAGAAAAAAAAATTTTTTTTAATGTTCATTTATTTTTGAGAGACAGAGTGTCGGGGGGGAGGGGCAGAGAGAGAGGGAGACACAGAACCTGAAGCAGCTCCAGGCTTCAAGCTGTCAGCACAGAGCCCGACGCAGGGCTCGAACTCACGAACCGTGAGATCATACAAGCCTGTATGGCTAATTGATAAAAGGAAGCCAACACGTATTGTTTTGAGATCCTGGTTTTCACAGGTTAGGAGGGAGAGGTGGTTACCTGGGGGAGAGGGAGGCGGCCAGAGGCACCTGGAGAAGCGGCTTCCGGGCAGGTGTGAGCCTCGGTCATGGTCATGTGCGTCACCTCACCATTCGGATGCCTCCTAGGCGCACGGCCCTGTATTCTGTACGTATCAAGTAGGACATAGCTGTGCGCCTTGCAGGGAAACTCCTGAGACGTACAGAGCCCACGTGAAGGTCAGCCTGGCGCCGACCCCAACAGGAGGGGTCCCTGGGGGTCTCTGCTGCCTTCTGCCACCAGACAGGTGCGCCGTGGTATACCAGGCCAGCTTCAGGGAGCGAGGCCCAGAGGCCTCTGCCGGGGGCCCACCCCGTGGCGATCCTCCACGCCTCGGACCCCAGACACCCCAGGGGCACGCAGCAGGACTGACTTCCGCCTCTTGCAGAATGGGAACCAGCGTCCCACTGTCCCCAGGGCCTGAGGGGGGCCCCTTTACAAATTCTCACTCCACTGGGGACCTCATTCCACCTTCTTCCTGGAATAGGGCCACTTGCCCGCCTTACTGAGTGCGGTCCCCGTGGCCATTCTCAGGGTCCCCACACTCTCTCCTAGGGAGACGGCTGTAGTTAGCGTCCCCAGTTCCGTTCACCCTCCCAAGGACTCCAAGGTGACTTTCTAGTCCCTGACTTTGTGAAGAGAGGAAACCCTAACCTCGTCCGCAGGTGCTGTGCTGCCATTGTGAATTCCCAAGTGCGTTGTATTCCATAAATTCGAAGAATTTGTAATGCACCAACCACGTGCTGGTAGGTTCATGTATTAAAATCTCAGGAATTAGGGGCGCCTGGGTGGCTCAGTCGGTTAAGTGTCCGACTTCGGCTCAGGTCACGATCTCTCGGTTCGTGGGTTCGAGCCCCGCGTCGGGCTCTGTGCTGACAGCTCGGAGCCTGTTTCAGATTCTGTGTCTCCTTCTGTCTCTGCCCCTCCCCCACTCATCCTCTCTCTCTCTCTCTCTCTCTCTCTCTCTCTCTCTGTCTCAAAAATAAATAAACTATTAAAATTTTTTAAAAAAATAAAAAATAAAATAAAATCTCAGAAATTAGTAGCCCCATCGCCAAGTTCCCCAGTTCTTCTACCCAGAGGTCCTGATGGTTACCTACTCCACACACACACACACACACACACACACACGGTAGTGTATCACACACACTTCTGTTGTGTGCTTTTAAAAAATTCTTAATATGTTTTGTAGATTTCTCCGGACCTGGATATCAAGAGCTGTCTCTCTATTTCAGGGGCGCCTAGTGTTTCAGGGGACGGCCGTGATGTCACTGAGCAGCCCCCTCCTAGCGGATATAGAGGGGGGCTCTGATCCTTCACTACTTCTTACGGTGCCATAATGAATATTTGGTCCAAATATCTGTCCTTTCGTGTGTGAGCACATCTTTGGGATAAATCCTTGGAGGTGACATTCGTACTCTCACTAACCCTTGCACCAACCCCTCAGATTAAACATAGTGAGAAAATGCGAGGCTCAGAAAGCAAAACCCTCCATCCAAGTGGGACCAGGATATGAACGTACGATGTTTATTCGCAAGGCGGGGGCTCTGAGATGCTTAGCCCCCTCGAGGCTGCTCCGCTCACGCAGGCCCACCTCTGTCCAGAAGGGAGTGCTCTGCAGCCGCTGCGCTGCCCAGAGCAGCAGGGGCAGGGGGCCGGGGAGGGGGGCGGGGCACCGAGCGGGGCTCTAGGAGAGGCCTCTGGAGATGTGGGGCGCCTGACGCCAGCCCTGGGAAGCGGTGGCTCAGTAGCTTCAGTTCCCAAAGGTAGTTCAGTGGAGGCGGCCGCCGCCGTCTGGGGCTGGACAGGGGTACGAAATCCGGCGCCCCCAGCCTAGGGAAGCCACACAGACCCCGCTGGCCCAGAGACATCGGCCAGGCCCACAGCCACGTCTGTGGTCCCGGCCCAGACCCACCCTGGGACCCCACACCCAGCCTCTGCTGCCCTCCCAACCACCCCCCTCAAGTCAGAGCTCCTGCGTGGCCGGGACTCGGTCCCCCAGGCCTGCCCAGACGCTGACCGAGTGTCACCTTCGTGCCTGCCAGAAGGTGCCCCAGTATTGTGTGGCCACCTCCCCCCATCAGCATTCTCTAACAGCTCCATCAGGTCTGGGCATGCTACCCTTCTGCTCCCCAGACCTCCGTGGCTCCCCACTGCCCCTCACACAAATGTCGGCATCTAGCATTCTCCCTGTCTCCTAACCATCCTCAAAAATGGCACTTAAGTGGGACATGAATTGGTCCCACCCCAGGACATTTGCACTTGTCTCCCACTGCCTGGAGCGTCTCTTCCTATAAAGTCCCTGCTTCTCACCTGGGCCCCCAGTGCCCTCTTACCCTCTCTCCCCATCCACTGTCTGCCCCCCTTCGGCATCTGCTGACCACGGCCCTTTGGCCCCCAACAATCCCACTCTGGTCAATTCCCAACAGAGGGCCGGCGGGGGTTCAGAGGGTGGGGGACGAGGTGGGAGATCTCTCCCGCCCGCTCCCCACCACTTCAAGCCTTTGGCAGGGGCCCACGGCCACAGCCCCTCCCTGCCCTGGAGATCTTGGGCCCGACCGGCCCTCCACCCCAGGGGAGAGGTTGGCTCGCGAGCTCCCCGACACATCCGCTGACACTTCAGCTTGTGCCCCAGGTCTCTGCTCCGTGTCCCCCTCTGGGAGAGCTCTCCCCGTGGCCGACCCCTGAGGCAGGCCCAGCCCCGAGAGCCCGGGCCCCCGTGCACAGGACGCGGGACCTGAAGCTGACCCCCTTCTGCAGCAGCAGCAGCTGAGACCCGGGCCTCCGAGCTCTCAGACTCCAGCCTCCGCGGCTCAGTGCCCGCGGCTCCGTCCAGGCATTTGGAGCAAACGCCCGCAGCCAGATGAGGCGACTTACGTGAGACCCAGGATGAAAGTCAGGGCCATGCACCTGTGTTTCTGTGCACGCACGCGTGCAAGCCTGAGTGTTTCATTGCCTCCCTGGGCATCCGGTTAGGGGACCATGCAGGCGTCCCTGTGACCTGCCCGAGGTGACCTACGGAGTGTGGGCCCCGGGGCTTGGCCGATCAGAACAGGCACGGAGCGTGAGGTGTGGGGTGTGTGTGTGTGTGTGTGTGTGTGTGTGTGTGTGTGGTCTTCCCAAGGGTACCTGGGTGTTTCTCTGTGGTGCCCCCGGATGGGGGTGCATTCGCGTCTACGTGGTCCCCCGCCCCCCTCAGAGCCGCTGCACGGAGCCCCCAGGTTGCGGGCTCTTCCTCCGCTCGCCTGTGCCGTGTGGAAGGGTGGCGCCCCCTCAGGCCCGTTCCCCCACCCGCTGGGTCTGGGCGCCCCCCGACCCCACCCCCAGGGTCCCGGGCAGCCTCTCCCACCGGCTGCCTGGCTGTGGCGCCTCCGTTCCGGGCCTCGGATTCCTCCGCTGAGAAGTGGGGCGTCCTGGGTCCTGAGCGTCTGCGCGGGGCCGGCGGGCGGCGCCCGGCCGTGACTTACCCCCTGACCGGGATGGATCTCGTCGGCACCAGCACCTTCTGCAGGGGCGGCCGAGCCCGCAGCGAGGCGTCCGTCTTCGCGGCCTCCCGGGGCTCCGGGAACTGCGCGCTGGGGCCCGTGAGCCCGGAGAGCCTGCAGGGGGCGCCCGGCCTCCGTAGGTGACCCGCGGCCGGCGCGCGCCTGGAACTTTCTGCGTGCCAGGCGTCGCGCTGAGCGCTTTCAACATGAACCCCTAGGTGGACTCACGGCCATGCTAGGAGGCAGGGCTTGTTACCCACACGTCACCGACGAGGAAATGAAGGCGGGGAGAGGTCAAGGGACTCGCCCGAGGTCACACAGCTAGGAAGCTGCTAGGTTTCTTTGGTTTGGTTTGGTTTGGTTTTTCCAGGACCTATCAGCGCACTGATGGGGAGACCTGGGACACGGCCTGCCCCGCAGAGCATTCAGTAACTGCTGCTGGCTGAGGTTTCTGGGTGCCCTGGGGGCTTCAGGGACCGCTCCCCGGCCCAGCCTGACCCCCTGACTCCTTCGGCAGGGGAGCCCTCCATGCACGTGCTCCTCAGGGAGACCCTGTGAGGCCCAGAGGCAGCTGGCTTGCTGGGGTGGGGGGGCAGGACGTGGGCCTGGGGGTGCGGGGGTCTGTACCTGTGCGGGAACTTTCTGATGAAATTTTCCAGGATCTTGGTTTTACTCTTCTTATATTGGGAGCCCTTCTTGGGGTCCTTGTTGGTCATGGTGGAAGGGGGTTTAACTGCCGCACACTCTTCGGCCATGGCTGGAAGGCAAGAGGCGGCGTCTCAGGGCCGGAGAGGCGGCGGCAGAGCCAGTCTGGTCCTGGACCAGGCTCCCGGCGACCCCTCGGGACTGCGGAGGGGGCCGAAGATGGGGCCCCGCCGGCCTCGCGGGGCCGAGCGAGGGCGGGCTCATGCTGGCCGGCCACCGATGCCCGGCTTCTCCACACTGCGCCCGTTATATGTGCCCTCACACGCGAGCGTGTGTAAGTGCATGCGTGTGTGTGTGAGAGTGCATGTGTGAGTGTGTAAGTGCGAGTGTGTGAGAGTGCATGTGTGTGAGTGTATGTGTGCAAGTGCATGTGTGTGAGAGTGCATGTGTGTGGTGTGTGAATGTGTGTAAGTGCATATGTGAGTGTGAGAGTGCATGTGTGAGTGTATTGTGCAAGTGCATGTGTGAGAGTGCATGTGTGAGGTGAGTGTGTAAGTGCATGTGTGTGAGTGTATGTGTGCAAGTGCATGTGTGTGAGAGTGCACGTGTGAGTGTGTGTGAGAGCATGTGTGTGGTGAGTGTGTGAGTGCATGTGTGAGTGTGTGAGTGTGAGAGTGCATGTGTGTGAGTGTATGTGTGCAAGTGCGTGTGTGTGAGTGTGAGAGTGTGTGTAAGTGAGAGTGTTACTGCGCGTGTGTGCAAGAGTGTGTGAGTGCATGTGTGAGTGCGTGTGTGAGTGTAAGTGCGTGTGTGTGCAAGTGTGTGAGTGCATGTGTGAGTGTATGTGTGTAAGTGCACGTGTGTGTGAGTGCATGTGTGTGAGTGTATGTGTGCAAGTGCGTGTGTGAGAGTGCATGTGTGTGAGTGTGTGTGCAAGTGTGTGCGTGCGAGTGCATGTGTGAGTGTGTAAGTGTGAGTGTGTGGTGTGTGTGAGTGCGTGTGAGAGTGCATGTGTGTGAGTGAGTGTCTGAGAGTGCATGTGTGTGGTGTGTGTGTGTAAGTGCATGTGTGAGTGTGAGAGTGCATGTGTGAGAGTGCATGTGTGAGAGTGCATGTGTGCATGTGTGTGTGAGTGCATGTGTCAGTGTGCGAGAGTGCATGTGTGAGGTGAGTGTGTAAGTGCATGTGTGAGTGTATGTGTGCAAGTGCATGTGTGTGAGAGTGCACGTGTGAGTGCATGTGTGTGGTGTGTGTGAGTGCGTGTGCGTGTGAGAGTGCATGTGTGTGAGTGTATGTGTGCAAGTGCGTGTGTGAGAGTGCATGTGTGAGTGTGCAAGTGTGAGTGCGTGCGTGCATGTGTGGTGTGTGTGAGAGTGCATGTGTGTGAGTGTATGTGTGCAAGTGCGTGTGTGAGAGTGCATGTGTGAGTGTGTAAGTGTGAGTGTGTGAGAGTGCATGTGTGGTGTGTGTGTGAGTGCGTGTGTGCGAGAGTGCATGTGTGAGTGTGCGAGAGTGCATGTGTGAGTGTATGTGTGTGAGTGTGAGAGTGTGTGTGCAAGTGTGTGAGTGCATGTGTGAGTGTAAGTGTGAGAGTGTAAGTGCGTGTGTGTGCAAGTGTGTGAGTGTATGTGTGTAAGTGCATGTGTGAGTGTGAGAGTGCGTGTGTGTGAGTGCATGTGAGTGTGTAAGTGTGAGTGTGTGAGAGTGTATGTGTGTAAGTGCATGTGTGCGTGTAAGTGCGTGTAAGAGTGTGTGAGTGCATGTGTGTGAGAGTGTGTGAGAGTGCATGTGTGCGCAAGAGTGTGTGTGTAAGTGCGAGTGTGTGGTAAGTGCATGTGTGTGATTGTATGTGTAAGTGCATGTGTAAGTGTGAGTATGTGTGTGTGCATCTTTGTACAACTGCCGTTCGGGGTGGTTCTCCACTGAACAGCCCATCCGACCCCGGCACCCACGGATCTGTTCTCCTGTCTAAGCTGATGGGTTGTCACAGGTGCCGTACAAATGGAATTACTCACTAGGTATCTTTCGGAGGCCGGCTTCTCTCTCGCTGAATAGTATTAGTTTTATTTTTTTTTTAATTTTTTAAAAATTTGCTTACTCTTTGTGTGAGAGAGAAAGAGAGTGAGCAGAGAGAGAGAGAGAGAGAGAGAGACAGAGAGAGAGGGAGAGAGAACCCCAAGCAGGCTCTGAGCTGTCATCACAGAGCGCAACGCGGGGCTCGAACCCACAAACCGTGAGATCATGCATGACCTGAGCCGAAATCAAGAGTCAGACGCTCAACCGACTGAGTCATCCGGGGGCCCCGGGACTGTCTTCATGAAGCACCCGGTGTGCGTGCAGGTAGGTCAGGGCTGAGAATGGCAGCGGTTAAGGCCTGACCACTGCTGTGTCCTTGGCCATCAGATCGCCCGACCCTTGCCCACCTGTGTCTGCGCTATTAGACCTTCACTGTGGTCTACACAGCCGTCGCGTCGTGAACGTGTGAGCTTAGTGCTGTTGTGACAGAGCCAGCCCCCTGCCAGCTTGGGCTCCAGGTTTGGTCCCTCGAGTTGACAGGTGAGCCCCGGGGTGGGGGGGGGGGGGAAGGTGCGGAGGGGGCTGGCTTCCGGTGTGGAAAGACCCCCAGGAGCAGGGCTGGCTGAGACTGGTGTCAGGCTGGGACCCGGGGCAGACCCCCCAGCGCCCCACGCACGCCCCCTGCTCTGAGCTGTGCCCAGGGGTCGTGTCTGCCGCTCTGCCAGGCGCACCCTCAAGGCGGGGGGTGCCCAGGAGGCTACTGCCCTCAGAAGCAGCCCTCGGGGGGATGGCGCTGCATAGGGAATGGCAGGTAAATGCCCTGCTGCTGTGCCCCTCCGTGGGGACGGCTCCACCCGCCCGAGGCCCCAGTGGGACTGGGCTGGCTCGCCCACCGTGGTGACCACACGCTGCGTCTCCCCCTGTCCCCTTCTCACTCCCGGGAGGCCCCCCGCCTGCGCCCCCTGTGAGCAGCTCCCCAGGTATCCGCACCTGCGGGCCTTTCCGGGGTCTGTGCCTGAGAACTCAAACCCACAGGCCTCTTCCCAGCAAAGCCTGGAAATGTCTACACTCGCCAGGACCCAGGTTGGGAAGGTGAAAAGTAACCAGCCATCCACCTGGCTTTGTGTCTGACCTGCGGGCTCTCTCCCCTTTTCTGTTCACCGCAGCTACCCGCCCCCCGCGTGCGGTGAAGGTCCTAGTGAAATCTAGAGAGATGGCGACGGAGAGCACGGCGATCTTCCCTAGTCTGGGGTTCCGGGGCGCCCAGGAGGCCGCTGGACCTCAGGGAAGGCTGCTCCAGTGGGGATTCGATGAACTGGGCCGCGCTCCCCACACTGCTCCCCTCGCCCCTGGAGCTACAAGGGCTTCTGGAAACCCTCGCTGGGGGCTGAGGGCGTCCTTGCCTTGGGCAGGGAGGGGGGGAGGGGTCAGCTGTGGTGCTGTCTACTCTGATGTTATGACACGCTGACCCCGGGTCCTCGTCAGGAGGCTGAATGGCCTCGCTGGATACAGACTACCCTGGTCCAAGGCCAAGCCCTCCTATGTGTGAGCCGGCCACACCCCGCTCACCCCGCCTGGCGGGCCTGGTCTCTGATTCTGGAAGATCAGCCGTCCCGGCAGGCCTTGGCCTGGCCCAGAAACGCCAGCAGCCCTGCCTGTGACCTGTCCCCCAGTCCTACTGAGAAGTCTTCCTGGGGGGACCTAGGTGGCTTAGTCGGTTAAGCATCCAGCTTTCACTTAGGCCATGATCTCGCGGTTCGTGGGTTCGAGCCCCGCGTCGGGCTCTGTGCTGACTGCCTGCTCAGAGCCTGGAGCCTGTTTTTTTCTGTGACTCCCTCTCTCTCTGACCCTCCCCTGCTCACGCTGTCTCTCTCTCTCTCTCTCTCTCTCCTAGAAATAAAGAAAAAACATTAAAAAAAAAAAAGTCTTCCTGACCCTGAGCAGGGGGCCTCTCCACTGACGTGCCCACCTGGCAAAGAGCTTTGTGCCTCCCTCCACACCAGTGCTGGCTAGCGGGGGCCTCCGTGGCCTCTGACCCCGTGGCCTCTGACACTGGTGTCCCTTCCATGGTCCCGGCCCCACAGCCCTTCACTGTCAGCTACACTTGGGCAGCTCGCTAACCCCTGTCTATAGATTTTGGCTCTTCTCCTCCTGAGAAGCCAGATGAGGGATCTGGTCCGGGATGGGGGCCTGTGTCCCAGTGGGAGCCACAGGCTCTGGGCTCAGCAAAGTGTCTGCTGAGTTCTGTGCTTGACCTGATGGAGAACAGACTACGGTCACCCCCGGTTTTCAGGCAAGGACACTGAAGCTCTGAAAGGCTAAGCGTTTGCTGCATCGCCTCCCGCCTGGCGAGCAGGGGAAGAGGTGGGGTCCGGGGCGCCCGGCACAGCCTCAAACAGCCCTGAATGGGACCCGAAGAGGCGACCACACTAACGATCGACCTGAGGAGGCAGCATGACCACGGGAACCGAGGGGTCTGGAGGAGGCCGGAGAAGGGGCACCCCTCACGCCCACCCATACCTACCTGCAGACCCCCTAAGCCATGCATGTGACCCTGCAAACTGCCGGGGCTGAGTCTGCCTCCCTCAGGGGCAGAGTGGCCCCACTGCGGGGCCCAGGGCAGGACTCTGACATCAGGCACATCACCCTTCCCACGCTGACCCGGGACTGTCCTTCCCAGCCACCCAGGCTGCCTCCCCAAGTCCTGGCGGTGGTGACGATCGAGGCTTAGATCAGGGCTCCCTGGCATTGCCGCTACCCAGGTGTGAGAGAGAGGCTGTGCCCCTCGGGCCCCCGAGACTGGTCCAGAGCACGGGGACAGGGCCCTGGCAACAGCACTGTCTTGGTTCAGCAACGTAAGGAAACACAAACCGCGATGCATTGGAGCCTCCAGCCGGAAACGAGGGGCCAGTGAATTGTTCAGGCTGCAGGCTGCTCCCGGGGCCTGGCTTATGTGACCCCGGAGGGGCGGGCGCTGGCCATGGTGCTGGCGGCCCTGCTACCACGGGAGCACTGGCCCTGGGGCCCCAGCAGCCCAGGCCCACAGGGTCATTGCGACCTCAGAAGCCCTTGAGGTCACAATCAGTGACACCCCAGCTGCTGAGCTGTGTGGTTCAGGATCTGGCCTGAAGCCCCTCGGGCCCAGAGGGTGGCTGTAGAGATGGCGGTGAGCGGGTCAGCGCCTGCTGGCGTTCCTGCGCCCAGCACCTGCGCAGAGTGTGCACGTGAATGTTCTCCTGCAGGGATCCCTCCCACGCAGGTTCTGGAAACAGAGGAGATACCCCAGAAAGAGCTAAAACCTCACATCCATTGCAGATCTCTTCCCTGGCCAACTCTGACCTGAGCCCTAACCACAGCCCAGGAATCCCAGGGGTGAGGGTTTGAGCCCAGGGCAGTGTGAAATTTAGGGCACGGGCCCTGAAGGCCAACTCTCTGTCACCCAGTCTGGGCCGCTGCCTTCTATGTGGCCTCAGGCAAGCACGTCAGTCTCTCTGTGCCTCAGCGTCCCAGACTACATACGTGTTTGGGAAAATTGCTCTGGTAGGAGTGTGGAGAACAAAATGAATGGTGCCAGGAGTAAGTGTGGGTAGACCAGATGACCAGCAAAGGCAGCCGTGCAGATGAGAGATGGTGGTGCCTTGGAATGAGGTGGTGATGGAGAGGGAGGGAGCGGGTGGATTCGAGGGATGTTCAGGAGACAGAGTTAGCACAGAGCGGTGGTAGAGCCTGTGGGAGGGTCAACGAGGGTTCTGGGTTTCTTTTACTGTCACTAGAAGGGACTGGACTAAGCCTTGGAGGGCGGCTGTGGGTTCGGCCTTGGTCTGGCTGAGTCTGAGATGCCTTTGAGGCATCCTTCCACTCAGGCACCGGCGTCTGAGATCCAGAGGGGAGAGGTCGGGGCATAAGGTAAGTTTGGCTCTGGTCGATATATCAATGGTAATCGAAGATAATGGGAGAGAGTGTGGAAGGAGAAGAGGGCATTGAGCTGAGTTAAGATACTCCAGTATTTAACGATCAAGTAAATATTCAATGCCTGCGACCCAGACAGAGGCACAGACAAAGACAACAGTGTCATGGAAGCTGGGGAAGATCGCAGCTCACGAGGCATAGACTGGTCAGTGTCGGCGCCGTGGATGATGCAACGAGGTGAGGACGAAGAAGTAGCGGACGGTTTGGGGGCTGTTTAGTTTTAATTTTTTTTTACATTTATTTATTTTTGAGAGACAGAGCTTGAGCGGGGGAGGGGCAGAGAGAAAAGGAGGCACAGAATCTGAAACAGGCTCCAGGCTCCGAGCTGTCAGCACAGAGCCCGACGCGGGGGCTCAAACCCATGAACCGTTGGATCATGACTTGAGCTGAAGTCGGACACTTAACCGGCTGAGCCACCCAGGTGCCCCATGGGGGGCTGTTTAGTTTTATGCAACGTTGTTTTTGTGGAGGAACGGATACCAGATTACAAGGATTGAAGAAGGAGAAGGTGGAGGAGGTGAACCGGGGTGGTATGGCCATTTCGTCTGTGCTACACATCGCCGTCACTCTGTTCTCCTTCTATTAATGTGAGGTATCACATTGACTGAGTGTCTTATTATGAAGTACGCTTGCGTTCTAGGGATAAATCCCACTTGGTCATGATACATAATCCTTTCACTAGGCTGCTGAATTTACTCTGATAGAATGTTGTTGAGGATTTTTGACTCTGTACTCATAAGGGTATTGACCTGGAGTTTTCTTTCCCTGTAGTGTCTTTTTCTGGCTTTAGTATCAGTATAATCCTGACCTCATAAAATGAACTTGGAAGTGTTCCCTCCTTTTCAGTTTTTGGGAAACTTTGATAAAGATTGGTGTTAATTCTTTGTAAATGTTTGGTAGAATTTACCAGTGAAGCCATCTGGAACTGGCCTTCTCTCTCTCTCTCTCTCTCTGTGTGTGTGTGTGTGTGTAAGTATAATCCTTAGGGTTTTGTAATTGTTCAGGTGAGCACTTCCAGTACTATGTTGAATATACAAATGGCCAAACCTTGCCTTATTCCTGATCTTAGTGGACAAGCTTTCAGTCTTTATTTATTTATTTATTTTGAGAAAACACTCAAGTGAGTGAGGGACAGAAAGAGAGGAAGAGAGAATCCCCTGAGGGGCAGGGAGAGAGATAAGGGAGAGAGGGAGAGGGAGAGAAACGGGGCTCGCCTGATGCAGGGCTCGAACTCACACACTACGAGACATGACCTGAGCTGAAGTCAAACGCTTAATGGACTGAGACACCCAGAGACCCCAACTTTCAGTCTTTTTACCATTGAGTTGGACGTTAAGTGTAGGGTTTTCATATATGGTTTTTACTATCTTGAGATAGTTTTTCTTCTATTACTAATTTGTTGAATGTTTTTGTTTCAATCAGGAAAGTATGTTGAATTTTGTCAAAAATTTTGGCATTGATTGAGATAGTCATGGTATTTTTTTCCTTTTTTCTGTTAATGTGGTGTATTTGATTGCTTTTCATAAGTTGAACCATCCTTGCATTCCTGATGTAAATCTCACATGGTCATGGTGTATGATCCTCTTAATATGGTGTATAATCCTCTTAATGTTTCTAAACTGAATTCAGTTTGTTACTATTTCATTGAGGATTGTTGCATCAATATTCATAAAGCATATTGGTATTAGTTTTCTTCAAGAGTCTTCTGGCTCTGGGGGCGCCTGGGTGGCTTAGTCGGTTAAGCGTCCGACTTTCGCTTGGGTCATGATCTCGCGGTTCGTGGGTTCGAGCCCCGCGTCGGGCCCTGTGCTGACTGCCAGCTCGGAGCCTGGAGCCTGTTTCAGTCTG